TCATTTTTTTGTTTTTCTAAGATAGTTTATTTTAGTTCGTTTTTTTTTTTTTATGGAAATTATGTTGTATTGTGGCATATAGTTCGATTTTAGAAATAAATTGTAAATCAAATATATTCATTTAGAATTATAATGAACAGAACTGGTTAACACAGAACATCAATGTATTTATTTTAAATTCTAAATAGTTGTAAGGGTCCAGTAGGTCCCATGTCGGTGCATTACTGTACAATCAGTAAGACCAAATATTTAATCGTTTCCAAAAAAAAATCGAAAGGGACGAAAGTTTCACACGTATTTTTATATTTTATATTTTATATATATATATAAAAATAAATTTGTTAATCCTTTAAAGGGTGTTGCTAGAGATACTCAGAGGTTGTTTTCGGGATGAATTGTAAACCAAATATAATAATTTAAAATTATAATCAACAGAACTGATTAACACACAGATAACCAATATTTTTTTTTTAAATTCTGCAAAATTTTAAGTGTCCTTTAGGACTTACACATTGTCCAATCAGTAAAACCGAATATTTAATCGGTTCCAAAAAAAATTGAAAGGTACAAAAAAGTGTCTCACACACGTATTTTTATATTTTATATTTTATATATATATACAAAAATAAATTTGTTAATCCTTCAAAGGGTGTTGCTAGAGATACTTAGGGGTTGTTTTCGGGTATATCGTTTATCGTTAATGAGACACTTGGTCTCGGCTTCTTAAGCATGACGTGATATATCCGAGTGTACCTACTCAACGACTACCGGCTTTTCGAGTGCACTAAACTTTTGCCTAGGTAACATTCCATACGCGCAGTCTATCTTTGAAAACTACTGTTAATTATTTGTAAGTAAGTAACTGAGTAACTAAGTATGTAAATAAGTAAGTACTTAAGACGAGAGTTCTTTACGAGAACGCTAGATCAAATTTAACGTGGGATATCACACCTAGTTTTCTGTTTGTCTTTTTTTAAACCTTTTTTTTTTTTTTTACTTTCCTTTTCGTGACGAGAGATAATTATTTCACAAAAACGTTCGATTAAAAAAAAGAAAAAAAAGCAGATTCATCGGGATTCGTTTTCCCTTTCGTTAATTTTAAATTAATTTGTGAGAAAAAAACAAATTATCAGATCATTGCAATGATCGAAGATTAAATTTTTCGTTCATTTATTTATTTATTAAATTGTTCGTTCAATTATTATATTCAATACGATATTTGTAATAATAATTAATTGTCACTTTATTATCGAAATAAACATTTTAACGTTTAAATCATTTAACACGGGAAAAGATTATTTATAAGAAATAAGAACTATTTTCGACCATATTATAATTTTTGATAAGAGATAAATCTGTTTTATTTCTCATTTGATTTATTCAACATTTTAAATTCCAAATTCGATTCTACGTATAAATATATATTTTCATGAATTAAAATTTATCATTGTATTTCTTCTCTTCTATATTTCTATCTCCCTCCTGACCCCGTTACAATTTTAAAGCAAGCATATACTATGCCATAAACCATAAAATATTCATAAGGATAACGAATAAATTACGTCTCGTTAAAAAATTAGAGTATTTCAAAGTTAGATAAATCGTTAAATTTCGTTGGCATGGATAAGTAGTAAAAATGACATGGTATTAGAAAAAAAAAAAAATATTATATATTGTCTCTCATCGTATTCTTATTTGTTACAATTTGGCACCCAATCGTATCGAACTTTGCTATCGTCGAACAAGAACAATGAGAAAAGTTGAAATTTCGGAGAAATAAATGTCTTTCCTTGAAAAAAAGGACCAAAGTATTAGATATATATGGAGTATGTCTTTACTTGTGTGTGTATGTCTATCTGTGTGTTAGAAAAATAAAGAAAAAAGAGAGAGAGAGAGGAAAAGATAGAAAAGTACGATCGAAGACCACGAGGCGTATCGACCAAGTCTTGCATCGGTTTTTCCGCATCTTGCTGCGGTATCTCACCCCTTCTCTTTACCCTTTTACCCCTTTTACCTTTTTTCTTTCTCACCAAACGAAAACTTCGACGAGATGATTTTCCCTCTTAGGAAAAAAAAAAGAAAAATACCCGAGTTGTAATCTTTCAATCTTATACGTACCGATGTAATCGAATTCAATTGTTATCTGATAAAATAATTGTGACTTTTAGATAAAAAAGAAAAAATCAAAATAGGCTTGCAATCTTTCGGAAAGAACAAAAAAACAAATTAAAATACACTCTTACGAATCGTTTTTCCCGATTTACCGAAGAATTTTTTTCCAATTTGTTTTCCTTCCTTACATACTTTTTCTTTCGAGATTTTCGTTTCCAATCTAAGTAAGTTTTTCTTTTCTTTTTTTTTTTTTTTCTAATCTTCCACAAACACACGCATGCACGCACGCGAAGTAAACAGGAGGGGTCAGGGGGAGTAGGAAAAAAAAAATGATTTTATATGGTGCGCGTGCCCAGAATTTTTCACCCATTTGGCGCGTCAAACTCGCCACGATACGACAAGCTATGCAGCTTTTTTTCCTCTCTCTCTCTTTATCTCTCTTTATCTCTTGTTCTCTCTCTCTCTCTCTCTCTCTCTCTTTCGTATCGATTCTTTTCGCTGGCGACTGTCCACGATCAACGACGCGTTGGACTTTTATCTATTTTTCTATTTTCTTTTTTTTTTATTCTTTTTCTCTCCCCA